CTGTGAGGAAGGGAGCCCCGGTGTTCTCCCCGAGCCCCTCGGGGACCCTGCGCCGTGAGGGCGGGGGGCGGCGGAGGGAAGGCGCCATTTCGAGGCGGCGGTGCCGGCCCCCGGCGCTCCTGCCGCCGGAGATGGGGACACCCCGCCCGCCGCCGCCGGCAACGCGCTTCTCCCGCCTCCTCCGCGCCGGGGCCGGGGCCGGCGGGGCCGCGGCGGGTTCCTCCTCCCCCGGTGGGACGGGGAGAGCGGGCGGCGGCGCTGAGGGACGAGCCCGGGCCCGCCTGGAGCGGCGGCGAGGGCCGCGTTAAGGCAGAGCCTCCTCGGCGGGGAGCGCAGCGCCGGTGAGACCGGGTGGTCTTCGTCGAGGAGAAAAACTTGTGTGTGGAGAGCTGAGGAAATTGTGTTTATAAACCTGTCTCCGGGCAGCTGAGGTGAGGCCCAGGGGGTCTGCTGGCACCTCAGAGCCCTCGCTCCTGAAGGGGCTCCCTAACCACCGTCACTGCTAGCAGGCGTCAGGGATAAGCTGTGTCCAGCTTAGCTTTCACAAAATACACGGCAGAATAATTGAAACAATGACCATCACCAACTGGGTGATGCTATTTATTCCTACTCACAAGTAGAACGAAGGTTGTAACTGAGCTTTTTGGCCGCCTTGCAGGTTTTCACATTGGTACATCCTCCTTGCTTGCTCAGAGGGCCGCTGCGTAACGCTGGCGAGGAAATCTGGCCACTGCGGTGTGACTGTTGAGCTGGCTGATTTATGTTTGTTTTCTTTTGTGTCTTACCTTCCCGTAAGAGTTCTGCACAAGCTGCTGTTAACATTTGATTTGGATGTTACCTAGAAATCAACTAGACCGTGACTCTGTGGATTCAGACCGTACACGATAGTTTACGGGCAGTGTTTCCCAGTCCCGGAGATCACCTGTTCTATGAGGACTGTAGCACAATCCAGCACCATCCCTATTCCTAAAGTCTTCACACAAACAGCAACTAGTATGTTGAGCACAACTCAAAATTAGCAGCGTGACCTCACTTTATTGCACCTTTACCCCTTCTGAAGTGCAGTGCTCGTGGCCGTGTACGGCTGTTAGGAATCTCATGCATTGCTAAAAAGCAAAATTATAGAAACACTGAAAGAGTTGCTTTGACAGCACCACCAACTCCACCAAACACTACAAGCAATTCAACCCGAGTAAATGGTGTTTGGTGGCATGGTCATCCCTCTTATGGTGTCATTTTCATGCTGTTTGGTATTAGATTTAGCTCTGTTAGATCTACCAACTGTCAAAAAAATCTTGTGTTTATAAATCACTTCAGAATCACACACATGAGAATATCCATTGCCATAAACAGTCTCTATTGATCACTGAAACTTTAGGTTTCTGTGCACTCATACATATTCGAGGTTTCTACTTGCTTGGTACGTCACCTATGTTCTGGTAATTGCCTTGTGATTAGACTGGAATAGGAATTCAAAGTGGCTCTGAGGGAAGATGCTCATAACTTTGGGGCTGAAGGAGCAGAAGTTAGAATCTTGGGAGTAGCAGTGGAGGAGGCGGTCCTGCTTATCGGTTTCCAGGGATTTCAGGAAAGAAAGTGGCACCTCAGGCAGAGCCAACCACTGTAAGCATAAGCAGCCTAACTTCCACTGGGCTGAGGCGTTAGAGCTGGAGTCACTTAAAGCATTCCCCTCATACAGAGCTAAGTTGGCCAGTGGAATTATGGTATGAAATGGAACACTTGATTTTAAAACAAAATATGTTGTTGCTTACAATTAAGTGACTAGAAAGAGGAAAATTGACTGTTCTACTTCATCATGTACTGCATTAAAGGCACTGCTTGCTAATAAATGTATAATATTGTCCCTATAAGAAAACATTTACTGGTAAAAATAGTCTCATTTCTCCTCCCTCAATTTATCTTACTTGAGTTTTTAATTGTTGTGTAGTTGTCATCCATATTTTATCTTAGCTAGAAGCTAAGAATAAATATTTTTAAAGCAATATCAACACGCTGCCAGATGACTTCAGGCTTTTCCTGGAAACAAATTATCCAGGTTCTGCTTTTCAGACTTACATTGGACTGTGTTGGTGGTGGTTTGGTTTTTGTTAATGCAGTGCTAAGTGTCTGAAAGTGATGTTGACCTTTTTCCTGCCTCCTCCTTCACTCATTGGCATGAAGGGTGATGGTGTGAAGGAAAAGGTGGCATATCCAAGTTCCTCCTTTTACCTTGGCAAGCTTATCTTGAGAGATATCTTGAGCCAGTTCGCCCTGCTTATTTTTGACATATCTTAGACTGTACCATTGATATTAGATGGAATTCATAAATTCATATCTCTCCCACTTCCCACTACCAGCTGTTATACAGTGGACACAATTTGCCTGTATATTTGAGATAACCATTTTTTTTCCCAGTAGTTATAAACCCTTTTATACATGAGAAGCTTTCAGAACAAGGTCTGAAAGGGCAGGCTGAGTAGCCATCATGACCAAGAGAGACTGTATAATCGAAGTACAGGCTCAAATGTTGATCTTACTGGCATATGGGTATGCACTGGATATTGAAAGTTCAGTGTGAAACAGCTCACAGACAATTTGCAGATATGTTAAATGAAGCACTGGTGTGTTTATCTCATTAATTTGTAATATAAGGAGTGGAATAATAAGTTGGGGTTTTTTTCACATTTAGTAATTACATAGCTACAGTTTATGCTTTATCATGTATCTATCAAAATTAGCAAACAAGTTCGGTATTTACATAGCTAGAAGGGATCAGGGCATGCTTTCTGCTGTGCAAGAAGAGGTTGTAAGTAAAAACACAGACTAACAAGATCTTTGGATTTATCTGAACAGGAATTGGAGGGAACCTGCAAGAAAGGAACTTCACGATTGCCAGTGACTACAAGAACGGTAAGAGATTTCGTAGATGAAAATGAGTTCAAATGTAGGTTTGTATGCCCATGCTGACATTTTATTATTTAATATATTGTTCTTAATCTGCTAGGGAGAGAGATATGGGTGTATATATTCTGTAAGCAAGACTGAAAGTTGGAGCCTTGATTTTGCTCATTGCCACTGATCAGGATATAAGGCTTGCAAGCTGAAAGCCCAAAGACTAGGTACTTAAGAAAATAAAACCCAGGACTACTTGAAGGCACAACTGATTTCAGTCTAAGGATCCGAACAAGGGTATAAAAGCCTTAATTTAGAGATCAGATAGGAAGTTGAAAACTCTTAACTTCCATAAGGCCTTCTAGACATAATGTATCATTAGTAAAATAAATGGAACTAGAAGTTTAAATCACTCAGCTTTCCATTGTAATAAAATACCAATGTTATTTTTGCATTAAAAATAGCTTGTCTTTTTCATCGGTTTATGGAAAAGTTTTCTTAATTATGTAAAGGCAGTGTGAAGGGACAAATAACATACTTTCCATGACATATATGAACAGCATTATGGATCTTTTTTCATTTTCATCCATTTGGGGTTTTTTAAGTGTTTGCACATACAGATTGATAGAAAAGTCTAGGTTGGAAGATGCCTCAGGACATCACTTGGGCCAACCTTCTACTAAAAGGAGGACCTTAGATTGTGTTATCCAAGAGCTGTCTAGCTGTCTTGAGTATTACCAATATGGTAGATGCCACCACTACATTGGGCAACCTCACAGTCGTTTCTCACCTCAAAGACTATTTTTTGGATTCAGACAATTTCCCATGAAGCACCTTGTGACTGCTGCTTCTTGTCCTGTCACCATGCATCCTTGTCTTCTCCTCTGTCTTCTCTGTAACTATCTTTTAGTTTTCAGAAGACTACAATTAGTTCCTCCCTGAAACTTCTCTTCCCTAGGCTGAACAAATCCAGTTCTTTCAAGCTTTCTTCAGAAGTCAAGTTCTCCAACCCTCTAATCATCTTAGTCACCCTCTGCTTGACCCTCTTCAATTTTTCAGTGTTTCTCTCAAACTGGGAGGACCAAAACTGGACGCAGTTTTTGTGGGGCTAAAAAGGCTAAAAAGTGGGCTTAAAAGTGTCAAGTACAGTGGAATAACCACATCCTTTAGCCTACTGGAAACTCTTGCTAACGCAGGCCATCATGTGGTAAACCTTTGCTTGGAAGGGCATGCTGCTGGCTCATGTTCAACTTGACCATCACAACCCCCAGGTCCTTTTCTACAAAGCTGCTTCTAGACAGTTGCTGTGCAGCCTGTATTGTTTTGTAACAAACTTTATCTATTCTTGGGTTGATTTTGTATTACAAAGTTTTTAGTAAGACATTTCTAGTTTTGCATCTGAATTGGAAGAATGGAAGTCTGAATATAATGGCTTTATTTCACAAGCTTAGACCTGGTTTTTTTTCAGCACCAGCATAAGGTTTATATATTCCTTAAGATATGAGGTGAGTTTAAGTCCCATAAGACAGTGAACTCTCACTCAGCTATTCTTGCCTAATGTAAAAAATTAGACCCGTTTGAAACATCTGATATTTTCCTTAGGATTTTCTTCCTGGTGATTGCTGTGTATAGATGAGTGAGAGAATAACCCTTTCATTGCAAGTTGCACATTATGTTTTTTTGGAAGTGGGTATCTAAAAAGTAGTCTGTAGGTTGTTAGATTTCCCTTAGTTTCTGTTTTCCAGCAGGTCAGATGCTGAATTACCCCAGTCATTGCTTCCTCAGGCTGCAAAACAACCCACTGTTTGCGAGTGAACGTCCTCCTATTTGAGCTCTGTTTTTTCCATATTAGTTTTTCACATGAAGAGGCAGTGGTTGCCAAATACTTAGGGAGAAGTAGAATGGACTTCAAAGCATTCTTAAAAGAGCACCAATGGAAGAAACCTCATGTGTTTCTTCCATCAGTACCTACCAGGTACATGGGGAAAATTAGCATGCAGCTTTACGTAATCGAAAGGTCAATTTACATATGTGACTTTTGTTAAAAAACAAACAAACAAACAAACAAACAGTCAAACTTTGTAATACTTTG